TGACCTCGAAAATAAGTGATCCCGAGGTAACCCTATAGAAGTACACGTTGAAGGTTGTTGTGAACGAACTACGCGGATGTAACGGGCCCAGACAGCATACCCAGAACTCAGAAAGAGAACATTTGAAGCGCTAAACACAAAATCCTTCTCAGTTACGATCCCTGAAACCTAGAACCGTTGCAGAAGTGGAATCGCGCCCTCAGAATTTGTTGATATCCATGCTGGTATCACTGCCACCTCTTCCCACTGCCCCTCTTACATTCTTGCCCCTACTTCTCCTCCTTCTGACTCTGTGATTCCACCTTATTTGTCAAGGCTCTCCTCACCCCAGTTCTCTTTCACTTCTTCCCTGAATCTACCCAGACTTCTCCAGTCCTTTTTTTCCGCCTCCTTTCAACTTGGTTTCAATCCACTCCTCTTCCTCGTTTTCTCCGGACTGTCTAGTGACACAAAATTTGAAAAACCCATCTACGCCGCAGTTGTTTGACAAGTAACACAACCCCAGAAATGTAATTGACACAACTGCCCGTCTGATATGCCACAGCTGCAAAAGGTGAGTGGGTAGACGTAATGCAGAATTCAGTGACGACCAGCAACCTTCTCACGAGGTGCAGGAGAAAGCGTTGAGAACTCAGATGGTTCAAACAATCCCGTAAAAAAATAATGAATTAGACTGATCGTCCGTGAAACGATCCTGCAGGCAGATTTTTTTGGGTTTGCTGCTTGCGGATGGAGGGCTGTGGGTCTTAACTGATCCTCTTGCAGTAGATTCCTGTACTTGTCTAGACTTCATCCAAAGGAGTCAACTGATGATGTGGACACCACTTCTTCCGACAGTGGGCTCAAGAAGCTGATTGTCTGATGTGGGAACCAGCTCTGTGGAGACTATGTTCGTTCGTCGTTTTTGTATCCTCCTACAGTGTCCTTTGAGGTGTCCTGACCCAGTGAAAAAGAAAAAGGGAGATGGACCAGGTTCAAAGACATTTCTTGGAATCCAGTATAGTACTATTCGATTTCCTTTCTGTCTGCGACAGGAAACACAGCAGAGTTTTGGCTCCTTAAGCCGATCTTCTCAGGTCTGGGGTGTCGTCGCAAGGACCATATGAGTAGTTCCTCCTGAACTCTTTCCAAAAGGTACGCATCAACTTTCAGGCTAAGATTTGCCACCAGTGTGCAGTTTTTTCATTTAGACCTAGCCAGGGATGTGTATAAGGTGGCGAACATATCACCACCTATTTTTGTAAACTTTCTGCGCAGTTCCAAGTGTCCTAAAACACCTAGCTGCTATCTGCCGACAGTGTGCCGTGGCTTTCGAATCACAACTCACTGTGACCCCTAGGCCATTGTGGGTCAGTACTGATAGCAGAAGAGTCCTATCAGTATGGTTGGCGTTGCCATAAGTGCCCCCAGGTGCATGCTCACACTTTTACATGCGTTGATGGGCATCAGCCACTTCTCTGACCAGGTAAACAAGCTGTCTAGATCTGTTTGAAGCGCTGTCTGTATCCTCGCCACCACTAATCTTCCCCCGGATATTCGCGTCATCAGGGTAGATAACCAAAGCTCATTTATGTGTAGGAGAAATGGCAGAGGACCTGGGGCTGTGCTTGAAGCACTTCGCTCTCTACCGACATCCAAGAGGAGAGATGCAAACTGATCCTTACTCTGTCTCCTACCAACCAGAAACCCTCCTACCCATGCAAGGAGACTGCTAGTTTTTCCGAAACTTTCGTGAACAAACTGGATTGAGATACCTTGTTGAAAGCATTACTGAAGTCCGCAAAAATGATATGTTCTGCTGTCTTATCATCCTTAGACCTGACTCAACTTTCTCTGGCCGCAAGGAGGTTCGTCAGGCAAGAGAAATTTCTGTGGAAGTCGTGGTGTGAGTGGGACAACAGAGTGATGCTCTCTAGGTTAGCCCCAATGGCTTTCTTGATTACTCTCTCTAGGATTTTTACCACAGTACTAGTAGAACCTATCGGTCCGTAATTCGATGGCTGCTGCCCAGAAACTGCCTTGCAGATGTGTTACCATGGCATCCTTCCAGCCATAGGGCAGAGTGCCACCGCCGAGAGACTGTCTAAATACGGCAGTCAGTGGGTCGGCTGCATAGAGTGAAAGCTCTCTCAAGAGCCTTGGGTGCAGCTTGTCCGGTCTCGTTAAGTTTTCGACGTCGAGGGTACCTAATGTCCGAATACCCCAATGCGATGGATATCCAGTTTATTCCGTTGAATGTCAATGCTCCTGCCGTTGAATTAGTGTCCACAGAAGGTTCCAATTTGGGGATCTCAGCAAATTATCCAGCTACAACTTTTCATTTTTCTTTGTCGTCTTCAATCAAACAGTTGATTTCCGCCCCTTTGATTGGGGCGGGTGTACCGCGGTATATCCCATCCTCTTAGTTTACGCGAGAAAATAACCTTTTCGGATGTTGCAACGGCCTGGGCAAGACGTGTTTTAAGGCGTTTTCGAGATCGGTGGACGGGAGCGATACATGTATTTTAGGCTTCTTCGTAGTGCTTTATCACCTCAGACTCTGACACTTTCTGGCGTCGTGAGAAGGTTCACATTTCTTGGTTTGTCCATGGAGGACAACGGTTTCATCCTTTCGGAACAGTTCACAGAATGAACGGTCAAGTCACTTGTGCGTATAACTGTTTGAAGAACCACGCAGCCCCAACCGAGGCTCCTGGATTGACTGTCCAATCGTCTGAAGAGGTTACCATGTTAACACCTTCATATTCTGCTTTCGTACGTTGCGTCTTGCTGAGGCATCGGCCTGACACAAGACGGCTGCTGTGAATCTGAAGACGATAACAGCGTGGCCAGTTACCGAGGGGCGCAAGGTGCTGGATGAAGCATACATCGTCTGTGAGCCAGAATACTAAGTCTAGAACTGATGGAGTATGCGGATGATCATATCTGGTTGCTGTCCTAACGTATTGTATGAAGGCAACGGAAGTTGCTGTTTCCACTAATCTGTGATCAAACGAGTTACGCGATGCTTCTGTTGTTAGTCCATCCTGGCCAACTGATGGGGCGTCGAAGCCTCCTACAACCAGGTATCGTGAGTTGTCTGCCCAGGAGTTCAGCTTATTCAGGGGGAAATCTCTTGCCTCACATTCGGGGGTTCGATATGCCAAGGTTAGTCTAACATCTTGTTCGCTGCATTTCAGTCAGAGGGGCAGTATTTCACACGTAACCGTCTCTATGGCCCATACAGTTAAGATATCTCTAAAGTGAAGGATGATACTACCACTCATGTGTGACAAGCCATCACTTCTAAGAGGGACAAATCCCAGTAAATGTGTCTCACAGTCACTGATCCCAGGAGTGAGTCAGGTTTCTGTGCTTGTCCCATAATTAACCACAGTCCACTTGTTCAAGAGAACATGTGTATTTGTGTGCGAGACGATAAAACTACTTGAATGGGTTTCCGTCCTGTCCATAGGGACTTCAGCATCACTGGTTGCCGAAGTCTTGCCACACGAAAACCCACTACTTTAAGGTCTTGCTCTCCTGCCACTAATCTGTGTTTTGGTTCTGCTTCTGCTTCTTGTTCCTTAGTTCGACCAGCAAGATCCAAATCCTTACGCGCGAGCACTCCAGATTCTTGTAGTCTACGGGCATTCTTCAGAAACAGATCCCCCTCCCCTAATAATCTGAACACCACGTCGACGAAGCCTGTTTTCAACAAGGGACATCTCCTTTTCTCCTACTTTTTATGTCTTGAGTGGGGTGACTCTTGGCATGTTTTCCGGTAAAAACTTGCTTGCCAAACTCTGCACCCTGCCAACATCGTGTTCGAAACATTTATTTGAATCCTGGTTTCTACTTTCTTTCACTGTAGTATATTAAAGAAATTTCATGGAGCTCTGCTTTATCTTTGCTCTGTGGAGTGATGGCAACTGGTTCTGTGTCCGTTACTGGCTTTTCGGCATGCATTGTAGACCAAATAACTCACCGTTTCTCATAGTCGGATGTACAAGGCTAGGACGTAGTCCGGTGACTTTGACAGTGGCAGCCCCAGGAAGGACTTTCATTCACCTTTGTGTACTCGTCATCACTAATTGAGCTCCAAAAATTGGCAGGACCTACGGACTGCACGGCTCCTTAGTTGGCACTGAGAGCGCCTCACTCCCGTCCCTTCCACCGGATCCTAATCCTACGATCGGTAGTTTCCAGGCATAGTCTGCCAGCTCTGCGGATGCAAAACCTAGAGGATACACACTCCACCCTGCTTTCTACAGCTCTTTCCAAGTCGCCTTCAGCAGACCTCGCAGGCAGTCTTTCAGTTTTTCGTAGGAAATTCTCAGAATTCTGAGTGGCAAACTGTACGCCAACGGAAGCTCTGTCGTTTTCTCTGTCAAAATGATTAACTTTCCCTTCTGACACCAGCTTCTTTGAAACCGCTTACGCTTCTTCAACCATCCCTCGGAGACCTTAGTAGCACAACATGAAAGCCAGATACTCTCTGAATTATCAAACATTTTGCATGTTGAGAGCGTGAATTCGTAAAACCAAATACTATTTTCGGAACACTGAACACCAGAGGCCACTGCGAAGAGACACGCAGACCTATCAGAAACATCTTTATGATACACTTGGTTGGCCATGTCAAGGACGTTACCAACAAAACTGATGTGACAGGCGACGCATGAGTTAGAAAATGAAAAACTACAAGAAGCCTTTGAAGAATGTACCAGAAGAGACTGCTTGCTCTGGAAGAAAAGCCATTTCAAACGAAGGTGGCTATCACCCAGAAAAGTTTCTGCGTCCATTTGATCAAAGATTATTTTGGTTGGGCAAACAAAAAGTAGTTTCTGATGCTTAAACGCAAAAGGTGCTGAAAATCCAAACAAACGTACAAATGTCACTCCTTTTTCAAAACGTGCGCGTTAAGAATAATAAAGCACAGTTAATAAAAATATCGTAATCTGTCTATAAATTCTGTGCATATGAAAAACAGTCATCTGAAAAGCTGAAGATTTCGTAGACGGACATGATCCTATAGTTCCTGTGACGAATAGTGGGCTTTCGGGTGACTGTGTTACACTTTCAACCTTGGCCATCCATTTTCAAGCTTAGTTTGATACCCTAGGTTCGTTTACTTGTCGTCTTTGTTGCTATTTTTTCGTGTCTCAAGTAAACTCACTGGCCTTACACCACTTTTTGGCTTTTTTAGGTTGTCTTTCTGGTTCTCTAAATCTCAACAAGTTGTACGCGCTTCCTTCCCTCTGAGACGTAAACTAACTTCTATTAATCCAGTAGTACAAGCTATGACATCTTTTCCACCGAGTGATTCTATCAGAAAGTCTGCCCATGTCAAGTGCTGCGAGGAACACAAGATGATAAGTTACAGAGCTCTAAGTAACCCCAAAGAATTTTGGCTAGAATATGCCATGAAGTTTAATTGGCAACAGGTGCCGTCTTTCGAAAAATGCCTGAGTTACAACTTTGACTGCAGGAAAGGACCAATATTTGTCAAGTGGTTTGAAGATGGTTACACAAATATATGCTATAACATCTTGGATCGCAATATTGATCGAGGTTTTGGTGACAAGGTGGCAATTTTTTGGGAGGGCAATGATCCAAATGATACAATCCGTCTTACCTACTCAGATTTGTTGTCGAAGGTAATAAAAAACTTAATACCCCTATGGCGATAATAACAGGCTTAACACGTTTATCATACCATCATTTTATTATTCCTTTCAGTTTTCAGTAATAAGGATAGTAGGCTAGTTGTTTTAGGTTAATCCTAGCAGAAGATATCTCTGTGAAGATCTAGTTCCTCCCTAAACGCGCTGACTGAAGGTGCTAGTACTATTTGTTGAGGTGAGGAGTTCCAGCCATAGACTACACGATGAGAGAAACGCAGATTCTTGCTTAGTTGATTTGATTGCGGTGTTTGGATTTTCTTGTGATGCACTCAGAGATAATCGATCCTAGCAGGAGAGAAAAGATAAGACGTAGTACCAAAGTCATTATTAAGGATACAAAGTGTCAGTATGTGATCACCCCCTTTCCTACGGTAAGACAGTAGAAATAAGTTTAGCCAACCTAGTTGTTCCTCACAGGGAAGATTTAAAAGGCTTGTCACAATCTTAATACTTGCCCTTTGAATACGCTTGAGTACATCAGCATTCTTTTATAGGCGCGGACTGGCTGCCTGAATGTAGTATTTTAAGTAAAGTCTGGCGTAAGTAGAATGGAGTATCCAGAACATATTTTGATCAAAACATTTTTTAAAGCTCATCGGAAGGACCATAATACACAGAGGTCTCTTGCTGCAGCTGCATTACAGTGCGTCGAAGTTTTCAAATCATGGGTTATGGCGACTGAGTCGCTCAGTTTAAAGACTGGGAGTAGTAGTGTACCATCAGTGGAATACCGGAAACAATTGGTATGACCAGTGTGCATTATTGCACTTTCACTAGAGTTGATTTCCAGCCTACTAGTTCATCCAAATCTGCTTTAAGGGCATACCTATCAGCATCACTACGTATGGCTCCCCAAACCTTTACATCATCGGCGGATGGCAGCACCGAAGAGTTGAGCATTTTTGCTAATTCGTTTACACATAACAAGAAAAGTAGGGGACCTAGGATTGTTGCTTGAGGAACCCTACTCATAACAGGTAATCACCTGGACAGTATCCCATTAACCACTCTGCCTTCTACCGTACAAAAAGTCCCTAGTTCAGGCTTGCAGTGCAGCACAGAAACAGAAAGAGGAAAGCTATCCTAGTAACCTTACATGAGACTTTATCTAATGCCTTACTGAAGTCTATTAATATGATATCCATTGGCAGCTTGCAATCACGGGCTGCAACCCATTCATGTCGCGATGAGGAGGTTTGTTAAACAGGATTGTTCAGTATGAGAACCGTGTTGCTGTGGTGCCAAAAGATTATTTGATTTAACATGGTTAAGTACCTTATCACGAATTCCTTTTTGTAAAACCTTGGTAACTAAGCTAGTTAGATAGTGATGGTTAGCCACCAACTATCAGCTACCGCCCTTATAAACTGGGCTAACTGTAGTATCTTTCTAGTCTCTAGGATGGCGAGTCTGAGATAAGGATATATTGAAAAGATCAGTGACTGACTCAGTAACAATGTCCGCTAATAAAGATAGCAATCTGAGATGTAACTCATCGGGACTCGGGGGTTTTCCAGGTTTAAGATTAACGAGCAACTGGAAGACTGCTTCCTTTTTTATGAACACTATGCATTGGTGGGGCAGTGCTGAAACGTCGTTCCGGTAAATTGGCACATATCTTTACAAAACTATATCCTTCCCTGGATTTTTGAAAATGCGCCTAACTACTGTGTGTCGGCGTATTGTTAATGGGTTTTCAACTGTCACTGAAAATAATTAACGCCCAGCTGTCGATAGATTTTTGTTCAGCCTGTAGGTAGGTGGATACGTTGTTGCAAGGGGGTGCGTAGAGGTGAGTTTAGTGGTGACCACGAGAATCTGGAAGGGAAAAGAGGAAAGAAAAACAATCCGAAGACTCGGCAAGTACAGAGGATGTACTAACATTTAATAATTAAAGACAATTGACAAACGGCGAAGCTTGACAATGAAGAGATGAGGCAGTCTAAAAATCCCAACTGAAAAGTGGATGAGTAAGGTTTCGGATGCGTTACAGGTAGTATAATTCATCAGCTTGTTGTTCAGTGGCTTATTTGTTTTCGAATGTATTCCTATCTAGTCGCTTAGTTTTTTTTACCACACTAATGGTTACATTTTTTGTTGTCTCCTACCGCTCCGCAATTGTACTGAGTCAGCTTTACTCTGCACTTTGGTCACTTGAAAATCCAAAAAGCATTATCTAAGCTTGCGGAATACATTGACAAATACCTCGTTAAGTACTTTCACTCACCATTTAAAAACCTGCTGTAATGGGGCTTGATATGTTTATTGAGGAGTGTTTCGTGGATAATGAGTTTCATGCACTCCACAGCAAGACGTACTGTGTAATTCTCTGTAAACCAGTTATTTGCCACAAAAACCTGTCATTAAATGTGTTGACTTCGTTCCATAGTTACTAGGTTAGTTACCGAAATCTTGTGGTAGATTCCGGTCGCATGATGTTGTTATCATACATGTCTTTATCATGCATCAGTCAGATTCGCACATAAATCCTACAATTTTTTTATATGTTATGATGTGTTTTGCAGTCCTGATATCTTCGTTCGTCAAATAAATTAGTCGAATTCATAAAATTAGTTCCACCAGTTTACAGTATTTCGTTTTGACTGTTTTAGAACAAAGAGTGCTATTCGTATGAAAATATCAACATTTCAAGAGTTTGAGTTGTGAAATTACAGTGAGGGCGTTGATAGTTATCAATAGTTAGTAGGTTTTAAATAAGGTATGATAAATAGATTTTCCCTTCTGTTTCATCGATCTTGGTACCCCACCGGGTCAACGAACTGCAACATTTTGCCTAAGTGTAGAGTGTGAATCATCGTCAATATCAACACAAGACCAGGTATTACTGCCTAACTGTCCAAGTTACCGCATCTCATATATGAGTAGAGATTCTAAGCAATTGAATATCCTTTACTTGCTTTTTACAACTGAATTTATCCTATTTCTTTCGTTCGTTTTGTTAAAGGTTAGCTAATGTAAATTGCGGAACATATTTTTATGTGCTAGATTGTTAGCTATGCATATGATTGCAAGGAGGTAGTAATGGATCACTGAAATTGGCACGGTTTTGTTGTTTATTTGATGCCTAAGCATTCGCTGATATTCGTAGTTTTCGTAAATCTTACATTCACTCTGTAGTGTTTAAGAAATGACTGTTGACAATGCGTCGTTTAGATTCTCTTTCAACCTACTTTTATGCGCTTATTATAACTGTTTTTTGTCGCTTTTTGGGGACATACGAATAATTTACCTACTAATTTAAAAATAGCATAATTTGAGTACTGAAAGCCAAGTAAGATGGTTCTTGTATGATTTTTACTCGAAAACACCGTATTCATACGAAGTTATAAGCTATTAAACCATATAATCGCCAAGTTTGATTTAACATCGTCCCCAATCTTCCATAGGTTAAAAGAATTGGAAAAATGCTTGAAAATCTTGGAGTTCAAAAAGGCGACTGTATTGCTATATACATGCCTATGGTTCCAGAGCTCATAATGACTATGCTAGCATGTGCTCGTCTTGGCGCTGTACATTCTGTTGTGTTCGGTGGATTTTCTGCTTCTGCGCTCGCCGATCGAATCACAGATGCCAAGTAATTTCATTTTTAAAAATTTTCTGTTAATTTTTATTACTTGTCCATGTAATCATGAACACAATTTCGGTTGTGAAAAAGATATTGGTTAGCTGATAAACCAAAGTGCTCCAATCTAATCGATTCATTGGTGCCCACGAAACTGTAATTATATGTAATCGTGCTTGTTTTATGCGCATTCAGAATCAAAATGAATGACTATCAAGATCAACGAATTGGTTACTTATTTTTTGTTTAACAAAATACTGTTATGTGCCAAAAAGCTGACCGAATTAGTGAGTAGATACCGTCTGTGTAATATTAAACAGTTAGTCAAGGGTAACGCTGGCTCATCAAACTACTCACAAGAGTTCAAACTACAATATACGTACTGTTTTCAGGCAGTATCAACGAGTGTATCTTATCGTCCCTAGTATACAGTGTACTAAGTTTTTTAGTCACAAATGTGCATAGTCAGAGTTAAGGACAAAGACGACTAGCCAATGTAAGAACTATCAGCATAAAATCTTGCACATCGGTTCAAGTTGCCACACTACAGCAGTATGCAAAGAACAAGTAGGTAGGAAAGGAATGATATCAAATAGACCAAAGTGAATAGGAGGAGAAACAGTTTAGAAATCACGGTTAATGAGAATGCTCAAACTTCAAAAGGCATCAGAATGATTACATCTGCGCTTTTGTGAATGACTTTTAGGCATGTCAAAAAGGGTCTCCAACCATTGATTTCGGCCTTCTCAAGGACCCCAACCAGGCAGTCTACACCCTACTTCGTTCAGACCAGCAGTCTAAGACTTTAAGGCGTAATGCTACGTCTTCACCCGTCCACTCTGAGCCCTGTCTCAGCCCGACTGGCAGCTACTACCTTGGCGTGGCAGTCGGGCTTGTGTATCACAATGACCCAATGAACCATACTCGCGAAACTGTTGTTCCCACGATGTCCTACTATGCCAGAAAAGTCATTTAGATAACGATAATTAAAAAAGCGGTTGCCATTATTGTGTGAACTGTTACTCTATGGTGGGGGCTGTAGTGGGTAAATGGCACTGTGGGTTGAACGGCGGGGGGGGGGGTGATGACAGCAGTGAAGTGTTCCCCTTGGATGACCAGCAGTGACAGACCGAAGCTACCCTCCATTAGAAGGGGTGGGGTTAGTAAAGGTCCGCCCTAGAAACAGTACACTTCGCTCTACCCCCTGACAAACCGATGCCATACCTGGGTTCATAGTTGAATTTGCAAAAAGCAAGCTAAAATATCAATCTTCTGAAAAGGCCGTATGTTACTGGCTTCAAGTAGATGTCCTTTGGGCTCTATAGTCACACAATAATCTTTTTTCAGGTATCTCAAGAAGAATTATCCTTCTGCGGTGTAGGAAATCAAGCATTTTTTAAAAAGATTTTACACCTCTTTTTATCAGAAAAAATTCCCAGTGAGACATTCAAAACAAAGTAATTCCTCTCTAAATTACTCTTTTGATTAATTTCTTCCTTATTTCCTGGGCTTTGATTTTGGAACCTTCTACTTTAATGTGCTGATGTGGGTTGTGGCAATCTGGACCGTTAGACGGTAATATCAGATCTTACTTTGGTGATGATTGTCTTACTCCATTTCTATCCACTATTGTAATAAATGCGCTCGAAATGGGTTTTCTTCTGTGGAGTGTTGTTTGATTGTGAATCGAAAATTTGGTTTTTCACCATAGAACTGAGAACTCAAGTTTTAGGTTAAAATGTTGAATGGCAAATAGAACATGTGGAAACAAATAGGAAACTGTTAGATATAGAACGTAGTTGTTGGATTTAGGATTCTCAATGTGAAATTTCTGGGTTATATGCATTTTCTTCCAATACTCCTTACCATCACTGTGACAACGTTTTGCGTAGTTTGATACTTTGAGTGTAGTGAGAATGTTTGTGGCGGCTTTCTCGCCACCCAAATCCTAATTGTTTCCCCAGGACTGGTCTTCAACAGTGTCCTGGCTAACACTAGAGAGTAAAGTAGTTGAGTGCATTGGAAATTTCACTTATCTGGGAAGTTGGATCAACCCGGGTGGTTCAGTGGTCGATGACATCTCTGTATGGATACAAAAGGCTCGGTTGGCCTTTGCCAACTTACCCTATCCTTGGCACCGCCGCGATATCCGATTGTCTATTAAGGGTCGAGTGTATTGCGCTGCAGTTCGCCCTGTTCTACTGTATGGCTGTGAGTCATGGCCATTAAAGGTAGAAGACATGAGAAGACTTCAGGTGTTTGACCACTGTTACCTTCGTAGCACAGGGTGTGTGTGGTGTCACCACATGAAAAACGTAGAAACCAGACGTAGTTTTAAGGACGAGAGGTAAGACAGTTAGTGAGGTTGTGAACCTTCGTCGACTGAGATGGTTGGGACGTGTGCTACGTCTTCCCAGCCACCGTCTACCTCGTCGCACTATGTTGACCGAAGTAGGTTCAGGCTGGAAAAAGGCTCGGTGCGACCAGACTAAAACATGACATCAATACATGAAGTCCTTGACGGTTGGTTTGAGCCATGTAGGACGATGCAGACTAGCCGATCGGGGTCCACAGGACGAGAGAAATCAGTAGTTGGAGATTAGGTGTCATGGCTCAGGATCGATGTCAGTGGCGCAGATGTATACACACATTATCTCCATCTCAACCGCTATGCCTATCATCACCATTTTCTCATTCTTCCTTCTTATCTTTAACCACTTTATACTCCTTTTCATCGATTTTCCTTTCTTCATCTTCCATTTTTATTGCCTTGTTACTTGACGTAACGATATGAGGTGTGGCAGCGTGGACCGTTACGCAATAATGCCCAGTCTTTTGTTGATTTTGATTGATATGATTTACTTGAGATACACTTCTTTATTTTTGATATCCTTTGGTGCAGGCTCCTAGTTTTTACTGTGGAACCTATTTCTTGACTTCAGTGACCCTCCTATCAATTCGAATTTTCTTATTTATTTGGTAGTTTCCTTTGGTTATGACTTTCTATCTCCAGTGACAGCTGCGTTGGTCGAGTATGGTTCCTAGTTTCTTATTCAGGTTAGTCCTATAGGATAAGCGTTTTTATTTTTCATGGTAATCAGTAGATGAAAAATATGCTAGTAGGAGTAAATTTGGCACATTTCATAGGCCAACTACAGAATTCTAATCCAAGTCAGTAAACGAAATTTTCCGAATATGGTTATGATTGTGCTATATTTTAATCTAGCCACTCTTGGGTTTCGTCCAACATAAACCTACTTCAGCTAGCATAGTGCTTAGAGGTAGATGGCGACTCAACTTGTGCAGAGACTCCCAACTACAGTGATGATTCATAACATCGACTGACTTACCTCAACCAATTACACCCCTAACCTCTACAGTATTCACATGGTGGTTCGGCCACAGACAGTCAATGCTTCACAAGCATCGATGACTGAATATCTGCAGACTTATATCCTTTGGTTTTAATGACCTTTTTCACAGTGAACTGCAACATTATACACTTGACCATTTGTAGGCGTTCAAACATATTCTCACACTTCGAGTGATGTAAGGCGGCGTAAGTTAACTAGTTCTTTCTATTCATTTTAGGAAGTACATTCTCATGCTGTAATTAATTGAGATATCGTTCATATGATTGTAAAAATTTATTTTAGGAGTTAGATTTATTGATAATACTGAGGTAATCGTGGATATCCTACCTTATTGCAAACTAAGAAATAACACATTTTGCTTTCATCCTGAAGATTCTTTTAACTTTTATAATGTGGCGCTTTTATGTTCACATGTATGTTTCTTAATTTCTAAGATCATGAATCGGTAAGTTGCTGTCTTATGCTTTCATGGTGTCACATCAAACAAACTTAGTTCATTTACTCTTTAACTAGATGCAAGATCCTCATTACTGCTGATGGGACTTGGAGAGGTTCAAAGCTTATTGACCTCAAGTCGATTGCATCCAACGCCATGGATTTATGCCGGGAACAAGGATATTTTGTTCAACGATGCATTGTATTTCAACATGTTACGGCTACTCCGTCTAACACCATAAATGATATTAATAATGTTGAGAGTAGAGATGGTGTTCGACCAGCTACAAAGTAAGTGCCTTTTAGATCAGTGCTAATACATCACGACATATTTCAGATAATCTTCGTCTTTTCATTACGCTGTTTAAGTAATAATGGTGATGCAGAGGTATGAGCCGAATCGACTGAACGTCGGTCACATCTTTCAAAACAAGATCCTCAATAGTACTTATGCAGACATAATAGGAAAACCAGGTGTATATTGAGATGAAAAATAATGATAACAACTGTATTAGTAATTAGGTGTATTAGGCGAAACAAATCAGGGAAGGAAAACAAAATATCAGATGGGTGATAATCTAGAGCGAAAAGCATGTAAGAAAGATTAAATATGATTAGACAATGTTGTAATTCCTACGATGGCAGATTCAAGCTGAATACCATCTCATCTGAATTCAGAGGTTTGGTTTGACAACTAAAATGTCGCAGGCTTCTGCATATCTAAGCAACTTCTGGTTTTTCTGTCCACTGATAACTACATGAACCTACAGGTATAAATATCATGTCCATAATCTATTGATTGCTTCGCTACCGAGCTCCACGGGATTTTCTTGTCGGTATGCTTCAACCATTTCGGTAGGTACTCAACCACCATTCGAGTAGACACGCCTCTCCTTACGACCAGTGTATTTGCTTCCGCATATACATTCGAATTGGTATACGTTTTAGACATGTCGAGGATCGGAGCTCTGTCTTTCGCTGATTGTCGCCATGCGTAGTATGAATAATGTTGAGAGTAGAGATGGCGTTCGACCAGCTACAAAGTAAGTGCCTTTTTGATCAGCATAAGTTCTGCATATATGTTTCTTTTATTTTCCTCGTTAATTATGAAAGGAATTAACAATAATATCTTACCATGAAGTTCAGCGTAATGTTCATGCATTCTAATTTGCTTCCGGTGAAATTGTAAGAAACTAAGCCTCACTAAAATTATGGATGTGCTTGTAATTCTCTATTGTTTTACTGGATCGAATTGTTTGACCTCTAATGGCATATGGACTCCTATGAGGATGCCTCTATATTGCCTGAATACTAATTATGGTAATTTACTTGGTTGTGACTAGCAAAGGAATCCAGGACACACGTTTCGTTTTAGTTGGGACTCATCAGCCAACCGTGCCTGGACCAAGTAAATTACCATAATCAAAATTCAGGCAATATCGAGGCATTCGCATAAGAGCCCGTATGCCAATAGAGGTCGAACAATTCGATCCAGTAAAACGACAAGCATATCTATGAACAGTAATAACTTAATACCCGTCGTACAAAAGGTGGCTACTGTGGCTTGGCGTTTGAAGTGATGGGTACAAAGTTCGAGTTTTGGTGGGAACAACATCACTCACTGGGGTCCAGATACATCCAGCTGACGAGTCCTAAGTAGGATAAAACGCGCGTCTTAGATTCTTCTGCTGACCATAATCAACTAAAATTAGTCTTAAATAAACCATTAGATAAATTCGGAAAAATATGTTTAGTGATATGTTATAAATGTACTTCACTTTGCTGTTTGACTTGAATTATATCCACGATATTTTTGTCTACTGTACTTTTGAACCAGTTAGTCCGTTTGATAAATTTACAAAATGAAATAAGAAGACCGAGGTTATCTGAGAAATATGAGACATTTACCCAATACATTTCGAGCAAACTGATCACACATCTACTTGTCATGGCATTTTATATGAAGGATAAAAACACGGTGGGGTAAGGTAAGTAAATTAAGACAATACAAGATTCGGAAAATATAGAGATAATAAGGAAGAATAATATATTTTTGCACCTCCCTTGGCAATTAAAATCAGATAAAGATTACCAAGGAAGGTTGATAGTAAGAAGATATTATTTTCTAATACAATAAGGAGGTTTGAACTTCTGTATAGGTGAGGCTTCGATGAACCTCAGTATACGGTCTTGACGGCTCCAATACAATGGTTTAAATGCTGGTTTCAGGTCAATCCTATGACCTGTTTCAATAATGTATTTGCCTGTGGAGGATGACATCTGACTGCCTACTGTATTTATCGGATTATTTCAATGTAATTGTATTTCTAGTCATTCAGGGATATGCTCCATCACCCTCGACTTCATAGTTCAATTACTCCTCCCAATGTATGTGTCACGTAACATAGGTGTAAGTTGATATATACAGTGGGATGTGACGTAACCATCCGTGTATTGGTTAGGTTTATTTTGAAGTGTATGCTCCATTTTTTTTATAATATTGACCTTGGCTGTATATATTGTAAATAACTAACTTCCCAGTTGGAATATCAAAGTTTGATTGGTTATCCCGGCGGTTGCTAGGGTGGTTTTTAAGGTCACTGAGTACAATTATTGAGGTCAAAAGATTTCAGAAGACTTCGGATATTTGACTTTCGTAAGTTGACATATACAGTGGGACGTGATGTAAACATCTGTGTAGTGGTTAGGTTTATTTTGAAGCCTAGACTTCGTTTTCTCAATGTTATTTAGCATCACTGTATAGCATATCTTTCTATAACTGAAATAGCCATTCGTCTTAAGATCATGCTGTTTGATTTCCCCTTATTTGGTAGCATGATGTAAACCTCCTTCTTCGGGACAGAATATTGATTAGTTCAGACAGTTGAGACGTTTCTATGACGGCTGATAAACTTCAGAGGATAAATGTTTTCCATGAGTGTCTCTGTAAGACGTTAATTCCTAATGTATCTATTGTGTAGATATGTTAAATCCTTTTGAATAAGCATTTTATTAAACCTTGTTTGTACTGTTTTTAGACAAAAAGTTTAGATACTGTCCGGTTCACGTAGGTTTTCTATACACTGGTCTTTTGATTGATCCATCTTTCCTTCTAGCTAATAATACTTCAAGAAAGATAGCTGATTATTATTTTCTGCTTCGCATGATAAATTAATGTGGCCTCTGTACGGTGTTAAGTCTATCTAGAAGACTTTTCGCATTCTCATGTTTTTTTTTGCATATAACAGATACCATCAGCGTACATCTTTCACAAAGGGATTTTACTGATCAAATCCTCAGCCAAAAGTTCCCCATGTGACACAGACATCAGCTAACAAGGATCATAAAGAACTACACACAGAGACACCATCAACTTGTCGAAAATCTTCACCTTGGAAAGTGAAGTGAACCTTATCGGTGCATAGTAGAATAGCTCTTTCAAATATTTTGAAGGGATGGGATATGAAGGATTATCCAAGGATATACATACTCTTTGCGGTAAGGTGCTGGCTGCAAAACCTGCAAGTCATGGGTGCGCACTGCTGATGATTCCTGTGCTAAGACGAAACAGCTATCCAGTGCTTCTCCAACATATTTCAGTCCATGATGAATATCAACCTGAAATATTATATTTCAGTTGAGATTGCTTGTTGAAGTTAAAGGCCTACAGCTTCATTTCTAACCTCTTCAGTGATTATCCAATAATTCCATAAAACACAAGAAATTCTACGAAAGTCAAATATCCGAAGTCTTCTGAAATCTTTTGACCTCAATAATTGTACTCAGTGACCTTAAAAACCACCCTAGCAACCGCCGGGATAACCAATCAAACTTTGATATTCCAACTGGGAAGTTAGTTATTTACAATATATACAGCCAAGGTCAATATTATAAAAAAAATGGAGCATACACTTCAAAATAAACCTAACCAATACACGGATGGTTACGTCACATCCCACTGTATATATCAACTTACACCTATGTTACGTGACACATACATTGGGAGGAGTAATTGAACTATGAAGTCGAGGGTGATGGAGCATATCCCTGAATGACTAGAAATACAATTACATTGAAATAATCCGATAAATACAGTAGGCAGTCAGATGTCATCCTCCACAGGCAAATACATTATTGAAACAGGTCATAGGATTGACCTGAAACCAGCATTTAAACCATTGTATTGGAGCCGTCAAGACCGTATACTGAGGTTCATCGAAGCCTCACCTATACAGAAGTTCAAACCTCCTTATTGTATTAGAAAATAATATCTTCTTACTATCAACCTTCCTTGGTAATCTTTATCTGATTTTAATTGCCAAGGGAGGTGCAAAAATATATTATTCTTCCTTATTATCTCTATATTTTCCGAATCTTGTATTGTCTTAATTTACTTACCTTACCCCACCGTGTTTTTATCCTTCATATAAAATGCCATGACAAGTAGATGTGTGATCAGTTTGCTCGAAATGTATTGGGTAAATGTTTCACATTTCTCAAATAAGCTCCATCTTCTGATTAGAGTTTTCATTATCGACGTTGTTTAGGATAATCTTTATTTCCGTAGTGGTCACTATGTATAGATGGATAAAGATGTCAGTTTAGTCTTTTAGGTATCATTTTACGTATCTCTTTCTCTCTTTATCATCCACAGTACGCTACTAACTGGTAGTTCTTGAGTCAATTAGTACTAAATATTAGATATTGGGCAATGAAATTTTTTGAGCTAGATTTCTAGTTTTATGCGACTTGTTCTTCAACTATAACTACTTTTTTTACCAGACATTAAAAATTCTATACAAGGTTCTTGTATATTTCGTGCAAAATTTCGTCATCATTTATTGGAGTTTAATAAGCAGACTTCTTTATTTGGTGTTTTTTTTTCATTTAGATAAAAAGAGTTTTATTTCATAAAAGGTTTCGCAAATCTATTGTAACTTTAACCATATAATGGAAAATTCAGTTGAAATTAATTCTCATCACCATTGAATTATTTGATTTATAGGATCTTTAGGGGTATGCAGTTTTGTAACTAGGCCCTTAAATTTTCAATTCATATTTCAAGCCTAGAACTAACAGCTTATAACCTGAGTTCAAGTTTTCTGTCACAACAATCAGCTGATTAGAAGTAGTATTCATCATGGACTGACATCAGTTGGGGAACCATTAAAAATCTGGGAGCACTGGACAGCTGTTTCGTCCTAGTATGCGACTCCTCAGCAGTACGCACCCACGACTCGGCCGTGACCTGTGGGGTCAACCAGTCGGAAGTGAAGTGGATGCTAACTAAAGACCTTGGGTGACAGGCGCGCTATGTCGTGAATTGATAGAAGTTGGAAATTGTGAACCACTGGAAACCGACCCAGTGGCTGAATGGTTAACGCGTTCACCGTGAAACCCGAAGGTCCTGAGTTCGACCCCTAGCCGGGTCGTGGGTGCGTGCTGTTGAGAAGTCCCATACTAGGACGAAACAGCTGTCCAGTTCTCCCAGATTTTCAGTGGTTCTCCAACTGATGTCAGTCCATGATGAATACTACTTCTAAATTAAAAAATCCCCATTTATCTCAAAAATAAATCAGCTGATTAATTTCACATTCTTTTTCAGTTTTCCTTACCATCTATCGTCATTAGTTACTTTTATGGTAACATCTAAATATATTCACCTGTAACTAGTTGATAGAGGTCATCATTATAAAATCATAGATGGCTTGTTAGTGAATAGTAACCGTAAAAACTTTTTTTCTTCTGGTCATCTAAGTGGTTTGTAATCGATCACTTGTTAGATGAATTCCATTCTATGTATCTGGCTTCTTCATTTCATTTATTATTGTTTCTGTATCTTGTTGCTCTGTCTAGATACTGGTAAGCATTAAGTGACCAAATTTTTCTTGAGGTTATGAATAGTAACACTTACAGAAATGTTCATAACCCATACGTTTATGGTTCAAGATAGGCCTGTTGTGTCTTATCAGACGTTCAAAGAATTCATTTTTAATTGATAATTTGATAAAAAAAAGTCTTTGTAATGTATACTCTAAATATGTTGTGATGTTTCAACATTATCAGCAAATTCCACACTTCATTCTTATCCAAATCATGTAGCTTTTGGAGGCTTTTATTAATTTCTTATTGCTAGAATCATTATTGTATGTTCTGTGACATTTCTACTGTTATACACAGTACGTGAATGGTAATTCCTACGATTTCATCCAATTTGCATAGAATTGGCTGAGATATACAACTGCAGTCTGGCGTTTTATGCATAAATTACTGCTGCCATGTCACTAGTGTATTAAAAGTTATCATTCTCTCTCTGCAGTAAAACGAAATCTCCTTATTTATGCGTATAGAAATAGTAGTAAGTTACGAGTAAACCTTCTTACCTTTAGGCATTAGAATTGTCGACACATCATTCGAATATGAGTGTTCTTTTTGGGGTTGCTTGTCATTTATGAGTGACACAAATGCACCTACAGCATATCCAACTAAATTTTGTTATCACTTACGTATATTCCTTTTATATCCTCTTGATTTTCATCTTAACCGATTACTAATTTTTCTACTTGTATTTCATTGTTTTCTCTGTTATCAACTTTCCTCTCAATATACTAGCATAAATTTTGAAAAGTTGGTGACCTGCTTAAGTTTTCGATCAACATTTTTTCCCATTCAATATATTTCATCAAATTGCTTCCCTTTTTACTTATTTTAATCATCCAAGTGTCGATAAATCATAAGACACGTACTTTTATGCATTCTTAAGATATCTTCAACCTATCGTTAGATCAATGATGGATAATGGCTAGCACTGGAATCCAGGATGCGCATTTCATCCTATTTGCGACTCGTCGGCTGGATGTACCTGCCTCCCAGTGAGTAATGTTGTTGCTACCGGGATTCAAACTCGGGAACAACTAGGTGGGAACAACATCACTCACTGGAAGGCAGGTACATACAGCTGACGAGTCCCAAATAGGACGGAATCCACATCCTGGGTTCCATTGCTGGCCACTATCCGTCATCCTTATAATTAGAACACAGGTAATATCGGGGCATCCGCACAGGAACCCATATGCCAATAGAGACCGATGAATTCGGTCCAACTAACAACGGTATAATACAAGCAATTATACTATCGTTAGACCAGTTAACAACGAAATTATGAAAAAATATCACAGTTGATGGCCCCTGAGCGCACAACAGTACGTTGTATAACTATGACAGGAATATTTTGAAGGAACTGGAGATTTTCATACTGACTGAATAAACCTTGGGCACTAAATTTATCGTCACCTTTCTACTCAACCCCCATGCAGCAACGTACTCACATACTACACGATAGTATAAAAACAACAGGCCGTTGTGTACTGTTAATTACCATACTGTTATTACCAACTTTATTTAACTGTCATGATGATATAATTTGGAGAGGAGGAGTAAGTTTGTTGAAATACCACACTGAAAAGTTCACATTGTATTAGAACTCATCGTCTGGAATAAAATGTATTATTATCATTATACAGTTAGACATTAGATATGTCCACTAATGTGGACGTGTGGCTCATTGGTTTAGGGAGATGACTACCAACCATTGGATCAGGGGTTTGAACCGCTATCCATCTACCAAGGTTTAAGCAGCCAGGTGGTATGACTAGACCTCACACAGTAGGTATGGCTCATTACCTACTAGACGAATGTGCACAAGGTAGCTGAGTGCGTTGCACGCGTTTGCGTATTATATATTCTACTGCCTTTCTGTGTTAAAGATTAGACATCAATGAAAGCATGACGTTTTGTAAGAAGTCTAACTTGGTTTACAGTCTTAAGATGGTGTATCACGAGTGCCTTTCAAGTTTTAATTTTAGTTCCCTGTTAGTGTTATCATCCTTTTATATGGAGCCTGTTTGAATTTCTCTTACCCTAATCATTCCATGTTGTTTCCAGTGTGTTTTTAAAAATTATTTTCTTGCTTTAATTTACCATTTTATGGTTTTAATAGATTGAATGTCCCAATGGAAGAAGGACGTGATACTTGGTGGCATGATCTGATCAGCACCATACCCGAAAATACTGACTGCCCTATTGAGTGGGTAAATTCTGAAGACCCCTTATTTATACTTTACACAAGTGGCAGCACAGGACGACCAAAAGGTGTCGTACATACCACAGGTGGCTACATGGTTTACACAGCTACAACCTTCTTTTACACATTTGACTATCATGATGATGATATATATTGGTGTACTGCTGATGCTGGTTGGATAACGGGTATGTCATAGTGAATAATGATTTTTTTATTTAACCTTTCTTTGTCAACAAATAACCTTTGAATTTTAAGGTTTGTGGGGATTAAGAGGTTTTTTCAAAGTTGATATTCATCATGGACTGACAGCGAACCTGGTGACCATGACGACAAATACTCAGCGATGACATTGGATGATTGTTGTGCTATGCTGTTAACTGGCAGAAGTTGGAAATATGGACCATTGAACTCCAACCTAATGGCTGAATGGTAACGTGCCGGCCACGGAACCTGAAGGTCGTGGGCTCACACTGCTGAAGAGTCCCATGGTAGGACGAAACAGATGTCCGGTGTTTCCAGTGTCCCTCCAACTGATGTCAGACCATGATGGATACCAACTCTAAAATAATAACCTTTGATAATACATAGTTTAAGACAAGTGAATTCAAGTTCAATAGTTGTATAGGCATAAACAAAAGGCCCTCATATTGAAACCCTTTATGTTCTTACAAATTAGAACCACTTCTTAAAAGTGATATGTTTGAATACTTTCGCATAGGCGTATCAACTTGACCATGAGTCAAACCTACAAAAAGAGCTAAGGATACTGAGATTATAAATTTCCTGTAAATTAAAGCATACAGATGGAGTGTCAATAGTTAAATAGTTAAGGCAGGTAACAACAACTCAAAACTCAAGTCCATGCTACTTAAGGAATAGAAATTTCTATTTATAAATCGAAATCGAAATGTATAGCTAATTAAATAACGAGTGACTTCAAAGGCCACCCTAGTAACTGATGAAACAACTAATCACGTTTCTCTATTCTATGAAAAATTGTCTTCCCAACCAAAATACTACAACCTGATTGGTTGTTCTGGTAGTTGTTAGGGTGGCCTTTAAAGTCCCCCTTAAATAACACCCGTTTCTATCCTATCAGTAGGTCGTATGCATTATGTAGTCGTCGAAAACAGCTTTATGCACAGAATTCAATAGTGATGTCTTTAATCACGCCATCAAATAAAATGTTAAAAATATTAGACGAAATGTGCTATAGCTCATAAATACATCTTACTGATGAATGGCATTCGAAGTGAACGTGGAGTGTATGGAACTTCCTGTTGATGAATCTGAGTACTGTCTTTAATCACAATGAATTTCTCTTAATCCTCGTTAATTGGATTTGGCTTAATGCTGTGATGTAAAACCTCATAATGACTCAATGATATGGGTACTCAACTTCCAACCAGTAAGGTATTCGAACCTTGCTTCACATACCGAGGTTTAGGTGGTCAGGTAATATCATTATCCTTTTCACCTTGGATGTGGTTCATTCCCTACTGTATAAATGCATGTGGTAACTGAGTACAATTCGAATCAATTTTGATTTCCTCCTAAAGTTAGATTTTGCTCACCAAAAGTAGTCTAACTGAATCGAACTACGATTAAACAACCTGTTGAAAAAATTATACTTGTGTCATAAATGATTAATTATTTTAGCCTCTTTATATTTATTATTCTTTCATGACGTTACAGCTAACCACTATTCATTTTGTGATCGTTTTTGAACGGTGGTTAATTGTATCTTATCAGAATGTACATAGAATCCATTTTCATCATGGTATTTGTAGCTCATCACTTTGAACACTCACTGCGCGTTTTTATCACAATCCCTTTTTATGTGATGCACATAAAATGCATCACTTGGCGTGTTTCAGCTTCGTTCTCCTTTCCATTTTCCTGTCTTATTGCAGTACGTAGTAATTACCGGGGCAATAATTTTCCCAAAGTTTTTAGTTCTGTTATAACTACATATAGTGAGTTCTCCGAGTATTCGGTGTGCATATTTCATTGCAAAATATAAACTGTCTCGATGATATAATTTCCCCTAATTCAATAATAACTATCAAATTTCCCGTGTACACTGCGGTATCCCATCTGTATTGTGATTGGATAAAACACACACACACACATTATCTGTCCAAGTGGTCAGAAACATGTTCCTCAGGCTATCAGCTTACACATTTTTCGCTAATATCGAAGAGAAATAGACTGACCTTAAAAAGTGTACTTAGCTTTTCCCTGAATCACTTTGTGACCAGATGTAACGACTTTTCTAATAAAGAACTGAAATTTATTTACTAATATTATTCAATATTAAACTGATCTAAAGTAGGTGGTCAGTAGTCTGTATTTCCTTATATACTTTATGCACAAACCTCTTGTGAAAATTTTTTGTTGGAAGTTACAAAACTCTTGATGTACATGATTGTAAAACTGAATCATTTCAAGTTCCTAATTGAGTTGTTCATCTTTTTTCGACTATATGACTACACTTGTAAGTCAAATAGCCTAACAACCAGTTGAGAATCAAAATTGTTTGAAATTTGCATGGATATCTGTGAGATTTGAAATATGACTCAATTATTGAACATAAGCAGTTGGTCCCCTATGAGAGAGTATGCTTATGAAGATAGGTAGAATTCAATTCTTTTTTTGAAAATATGCTTAGCTTTCTACAGTTAACATTTATCATCTTTTCAGTAGCTTACCATTATCTACATATCCACGACATTATAACTTATTATTTGAATACCTTAACTCATATGAAAAGCTTTCAGATAAGCCAAAAGTTTTAAGTAGTCGGTTGGCAATATCATGAAAAATAACCCATGCGTTGTATTTAGACAGAAGATTAAACAGTTAAAATTCATAGTGTGTATAGACGATGAAACCCAAAGAGATGTAGATGTCAACGATGATTTTTAACAGCTATCAATAATTTATAGGGGTCATTTAAGTAGGTATTGTAGTTAGTACTGGTCTACCAACTAGGATGTCATGACTATTGTCGTATTCCATTTAATACTTCACGTCGATGGTACTTATCCAGTGGTCATACCTACATTAATCAAAACCCTTAGTAACCAATTAGAAGTGAAATCTCAAAAATGGTTAGGACTTTTATACGTCATGTCAACCACAAATACTATAATTTACTCCAATCTTCTAGGCATTTCGTACTAATATTTATCCAAAATGATTACAGATTCCTTCGTAGAAATAAGTTTTCTCCTTAAGTTTTAAAAAATTCAATAATTTATTATCATTTGACTATCTGAGATAACTGTGGTTTGCTAGACTAGTATTTATACTGGGTGATGATTAAAGGTGAAATGAAAATTTGGATCGTGGCCGGATTCGAACCAGCGACCAATCAATCAATATCAACATGGGACCAGGCATTACTGCGTAACGATCCGGGTTGCCACAGCTCAGTACAGTACATCAAGTAGAAAGGTTAATGAGGTGAAGGATGAAGATAAGAGAATGTAGTCAAAAGAAATATTAAGTACGAGAAGAAAGAAAAGAGGAATGACAAAATGGTGAGATTCGGTATAGCGTCGTTAAGATGACGATAATGTATGTATACATCTACACCACTGACATCGGTTCTGAGCCATATCACCTAGAGTCCCCAACCACTGGTTCCTCTTGTCCCGCAGACCCCACATGACTCAAACCAACAATCAAGAACTTCATACATTGGTGCCATGTTTTAGTCTGGCCACCTCGGGCCTTTTTCCAGCCTGGACCCACCTCAGCCAACATTGTATGACAAGACAATCGGTGACTAGGCATACGTAGTACGTGTCCCAACCATCTCAGCCGATGAAGGTTCACAACCTCGTCAACTGACTTACCTCTTCTCCCCAAAACTATACACCTGACTTCTGCATTACTCACATGGTGACACCACGGAATACGTCCTATGCTACGAAGGCAACGGTGGTCAAACACCTGAAGCCTTTTTATATCTTCCACTTTCAATGGCCATATTTCACAGCCATACAGCAGAACAGACTGGACTGCTGTGCAGTACACGCGACTCTTAATAGACAAATGGATGTCACGGCGGCGCCATAGGTGTCGTAAATTGGCGAAAGCCAATCGAGCCTTTTGTATCTGTGCAGAGATCTCATCGGCAACTGACCCACCAGGGCTGATCTTCCTTCCCAAGTAAGTGAAGTGATCAATACACTCAACCACTTCACTCTATTGTTAGCCGTGCCACCTCTGAAAACCAGTCCTGGAGCAGCAGTTTGCATTTGGGTGGTGAGAACCGCATCCCAAACATTCTCAAATTGCCACTCAAAGTGTTCAGAAGACTCTGCGACCAGCGACCACCAGGTTTCTGGCCTGATGCTCTACCAACTAAAGTACGAGGTTCAACCGCCAACCAAATTTTCATTTCATCTTCAATCATCACCCAGTATAAATACTAGTCTGCCAAACTATGGCTATCTCAGATAGTCAAATGATAATCAGTAGGATGCTTCCCGTCTCTAATTCAGTTAGATTTCCATTGGGATGAGAAGTTCTCACTAGGCAGCCATTTTGAATACGATTAAGCTGTAGTTACGCATCATGATAGTCGGGCAAAACGCATGGCGATTGAAGTGGCGTAAAAATCTGGTCAGCAGTCGGACCTCGTAGGTAAGTTGGTAGAGTATTGGGTCGGGAACCCGGTGATCGCTATTTCGAATCCGGTCGTGGTCTAAATTTTCATTTCACCTTCAATCATCACCCAGCATAAATAATTTATCAGCAGATTGTGTTCCGTGTATGTAAATACTTAGAAAGCAGAAACTCATCAAGTGAAAATATTCCTATTAGATGTTCTGAATCTGTTCAGTCTGCGATCCTATAAACTTTGCTTTTCTGTATACTTTTGTCATTTTAACGAAACGTAGATGAGGTCAAACGCTATCAGTTTTAGAACAACAGTAGACATTAGAGTATTTTATGTTTACCTGTATTAATCCTATCACTTTGGTTATCCTCAAAGGACCATAATTTCAAATATGCAACGCGTAACTACATACAATTCTGTTGCATGCTTTTAATGTTTGATCTATCCTTGTTCAAAATATATGACGATCGCACATCTAATATTAGGATTTCCCATTTTGTTAATTGCAGTGAATGAAGACAATATGTTATCAATAACGGGGTCAACAGTTGTCCTGACTAAATTCAGGACACTTTATCGTAGATGAATAAGAAGTGAACATATGTATAGATAAAGTTGAAGTGTTCATAGATTTACATAACTTCATTTTACACATTTATCAAAACGATCAGTTGTAAAACTTTAGTAGAAATCTTCTAAATATTCCCCGATTTACCTATTATAATCTTTCCAGGTCATTCATATCTTGTGTATGGACCGTTGTTAAACGGTGCAACGATTGTAGTGTTTGAAGGTATTCCAACTTGGCCAGATCCAGGTCGGTGTTGGGCTATCATAGATCGATATAAAGTTTCAAAATTTTATACAGCACCAACAGCAATACGTACTCTAATAAAGGCTGGTGATCAATATGTTAAATGTCATGATCGCACATCTTTAAAGGTGAGGTGCTGTGCTAACTTCTTCAGTTATTAAAGATTTTGCTATTGAATATTCATTGAGCTAGAATGAAATTGGTTACTGGTTATCGAAATTACTTAGATTTTTCTAATTTCTTAATGTAGATATTTTGTACTTATTCATCTCCTCTTATCCGAATGGTAGTGTTTTTCGGTAGTCTACATGTTTCAGGATTATATATATATATATCAATGGGATCTTAAAAAAGTTAATATGCAACTTTCTCTAACACAAATATGGTGTCAGATGAAAAATTAGTTAGTTATTGTGATTATTTGGAATACTTCAAATAGGTATACATCATTTCGGAAATATCTTTCTACCTTCGAGTTACGAAGATCAACGAATAAATGAATTTCGATTGATTAGTTTGCATATGAACGGATGAAACGCACTCAGCCACCTTGTGCACATTCGTCCAATAGGTAATGAGCCACACCTATCGTGTGAGGCCTAGTGATACTACCTGGCTGACCAAACCTTGGCAGGTGGAGCGGGGTTCGAACCCACCATCCACTGATTGATAGTGATCTGCGTAAATCAGTGAGCAACAGTTCCACAATTTGCATATGCCTAATGAATATAGTAGGTTTGTGCACTTGACATACATTTTTCTGTAGTCGTTTTATTAATTACTGTATGGTTAAATATCTGACGATTTCAAAATCTCTACACCTTCGGATTGTCTCGTATGCAATTTGTTACATGCGTTTCCTGGCTTTTCTCTTCAGTGGATGGTGAGATGAATTTCTTACAACAGTTTATTCCGGATCAGCCTTTTAGTTTTCGCTCACCTTAGTAGATAATGACTGAAAACTAACTCAACCGATAAGTGCTACACTGACGTGGTGGCCAGGTTTGCATTATCGAAATGACTCAGTGAGCTCTGCTGGTTGAAACGATTGTTCCTTAAGATTCTGACTGATTGACAAAATCAACATAGGACCTTACACATAGGTGCACTGGCTCAAGTTGCCACACTTCACAGAAGTACACAAAGAACAGATGGATAGAAAAGGAGTGATATCAAAGTAGATAAATTAGTATGAGAGATTAAAAGATCTGAAGATAAAGTTCAGTGTGAATATTCAAGCTTTAGAAGATAGCAAGGAGTGAATACATGTGCAACATTGTGACCGATTTTTAGCCATGTCATCAAGTGTCCTCAACTACTGATTCCTTTCGTCTCGGGGACCCCAGTCTACATCTCCCTACACGGGCCCTACCTTGCCAGATAAGTCTATTGGATAATTGTAAATAAGCCTACACTAAAGTATGGGTCCTATAACGAAGTACTGCTCGTTTTAACGGGTTAAACAGTAGTAAAGCGTTTCTGGCAGATAAGCAGTGTTTCCCATTCATTATCGAGAGGGGAGTTAGAAAAGATCGACCCTTAAAATAACATTCCCTAACTTGTGGTCTTCCGGTTCCAGTTGTGTGGATTTTTCTACTCTAACTGTAACAGTTAAAAATAGGTGTCACACTTCATCCCAAGTCAAAAGCTCCGAAAAAGCCTGTTTGACTAACCTCAAGCAGATTTTATTTGAGCTATGCATTCACACTCAGATCGTTGAAACCAAACTCAGTAACCTACTTTTTTTCCAGGTAACCTAAAAAAAAAGTAACTTTCTACATTGTGTGCAGTCAATTGTCCACCACTCATCACCTCTGTCAGCACTCAACTGCTTTCTGATCATCATAAACCGTCTACGTCGTTACTCTCTAAGTTTTTTTTTCATATATCTCTGTTGATGATATCTCTACGTCATGGGTAATCTCTTCTAGTTCTGAAGCCAGCGATAACCACTCGGGTTCATGGAACAGCATCCCTGGTCGTGTGAAACCATGCTGCAAACTACACGTTGTTGCTTTCACTGGCCACATCCTCCACTGAATTGAACAAAACTCTGGGGTTGTGAATGCTTGCTATATTTGTTAGACCTTCGTAGGGGATCCTGATTCGATTGTTTGTGTGTGATAGTTCGTGACGTTCCTGATGACTTCTTGACTAGTTCTCATGTTTTTGCGGGTGTAGCTGTGCCTAGAATTAGGTAGTAAGATAAAAAGTGAAGTGCTTATCTGAGTCCAAGTTGACAGTTGCCTGTGCACTGTTCTACTGAATGATTTTGTGGGGATCCAAAAAGTAGTGAAACTCGGTGCGGTCACTTTGCAGTCTGTCCTTGTGACTAGTTCGGGTGAAGTGAAAGATGAACTGTACAGAAAATTGTCTGACGTTCTAATGAAAGTCGAACGCTCGGATACGGTTGTTATTGAAAGTGATTTCAATTCAAAAGTGGCATGTTAGGTCATCAGGAAGACACTGTTGTTACTTTGAGAACGCCAACCAAATGAACACGTAACGGTGACCGGCCTGCTACATCTGCGTTCAGACAACCATCTATTTCCGGTTAAAACGAACTTTAAAAGTGATGAGAGACATTTCCATGGTGTCTGTCCACGTCAGCTCATCCCTGATTACATTGTTATGAGTTATTGCTAGAGAGAGTCGGTGGGAGATCCGCTCTCTTTCTGGAACACGTATTTGGACCGTGATCATCCGTTGTTTTGAGCACTTGCATCCTCGCGCATAAGTGGACGTGGAGAAACTACAGCTTATTGAACGATGAGGAATACTAAGGCTACTATAAACGAGGACGTGGTCAGGTAGTTATTGGAAATGCACAAGGTCACTCGTCGTGAAGAAGGCTAGTGCCATCTTCGTTTTGATGTCCGGAGTTTTGGGGACCGTAAGTGCCTTTGAAAGTGGGTTAAATAGGGTCAGTGGATATCAGCAGCATCTTGTGAATTGATAAACGCACGTGAATGCATTCTCTTAGGCTTCGAGTACAATGAGGAGCGAAAGCAATTTAGATGTCGTTTGATGAAGGGTGTATTCAATGACTTTGACCACTGGTGGGTGGCGAAGACTGAATAAATAGAGAAGGTTGTAACAATAAGTAAAGGTAAATTGTTATCGAAACTGTTCAAAAAGAGTAGGTGGGGTGTGGGGAATAGTCACTGATTAGTGAGACCATAACAGAGAAGAATAGGTATGTAATTCGCTCGCAGAGACGACTGTAGTGATGGATTGCACACTTTGAGGAACAGTTCATCTGACCTTTAGTTTTTGTTTGGCCGCTACCCAGTCACATACTGAACAGGCCATTGAGAAAAGTCATTAAACCCTTGCAGAAGTTGAGGAGGCTATTGGTGACATAAAAGGAGGAAAGGCAGCGGACCGCGATGACCTTACGCCGAGGATATTGCAGACGATGATTGAAGGTTATTTGTTAGATCAAGTCAAGGGTTAGCTAAAGTATGAGAATGAGATGTGATCCTAGTTAAGTAGCTTTATTTTCTAAATGTTTGTCTCCAAGAAAAAGAGAAATCTTCTTGTAACGACCACAAGGTAAACATTCCGACGAATATTGTGTCTAAGATTCTGAGTTCTTTAATCTCTGGACACCTAAGTGAAGCCGAAGATATGAAGCGGGTTTCAGACCTAATTGTGGTTGTGTCGATGAGAGTTTCATAGTTCGATAGATCTGGTGAGTGACACTGACTTTATTTCTTGCCCTTAAAACAGTATTCATCTCCATGATTTGAGAGGTCATACAGCAGTGTCAGTTTGCAGAATGTGTTGGGTGAGTACATTACAGTTTTGAAGGTGATGCAGACGAGTTGACAAGACTCAGAATATATGTAAATGGCACAGATGCTCCCATGCATCGTCTCCGTTTTAATTTTCGTATATTTCTCTATTCGTTTTACTCGCTCTTCTTCTCTTATGATTTTCAGCAACTTTCGAGTACATTTGCGTCTATTTCTTTGAGGTTTATTTTGGTATTTTGTATCTTGATCTCTTAATATCAGGTGTGGCAGCTTGGACTACTAAGGAGAATCACTGGGTCATATGTTAATATTAATGAACTGATTTCCACACTAGATTGTATACGCCAGGTTAAACCGGTGAATTGTTACTGTCTTGGATAGAGCACATTTGGTTACCTCGTAAGATAGTCAGAACATAGTTTTCAAGTACAGTTAACTTCCTAGTTCATTTAAAAAGTTCCTTTTTGGTTTCTATATTATATCGCAGGTCCTCGGTAGTGTTGGTGAACCAATCAATGTTTCTGCTTGGGAATGGTATTATAATGTCGTAGGTAATGGTCAATGTTCTATTGTGGATACGTTTTGGCAGACAGAAACTGGTGGACATATGATTACTTCCCTTCCTGGAGTGAATGTAATGAAACCAGGCTGTGCTACTAAACCATTCTTCGGTGTTGATGCTCGCATATTATCAGATGAAGGTGAAGATCTAACTGATAAATCCAAAACAATGGGTGTGGATGTAGAAGGTTATTTGGTATTTGCTAAACCATGGCCTGGTATGATGAGAACGATAAACAGGAATCATGAACTATTCGAAACAGTCTATTTCAAACGTTTTCCTGGTTATTATGTTGCTGGTGATGGTGCTAGGCTGGACAAAGATGGAGATTTCTGGATTACTGGTTAGTACATTCATAAGTTTCTCTGATTAAATGTCAAATTTCTATCGTACAATATTGATGCTAATTGTTTTTCAAAAAATTCGCTAGTTTTTTCCTTACAAAGATTTATGAAGGTCTTTACTTAGCTCACTGAATTTTTAAATCGTAACGTAATTAGAGGACAGTTTATCTGACATTATATTGGTCTGATCTTGTTGACTAGCAGAGGAATCCAGAACATGCGTTCCGGCCTATTTGAGACTCGTCAGTGGGATGTACGTACACCCCACTGAGTGATGTTCCCACCGAGCCTCGAACCCAGTACTCTTCGATTCAAACGCCACCGGGACACGAAGCCATCCCTGTCAACAGAGGTCGAGCAATTCGGCCCTATATAGCAACGGGAAATTACAAGTATCATTGCAACAGTTTATCTGATAAATGTGTTGTATTTATGTCATACATTCCGAACAATCTGATCGCAGATTTGCTTTTTTGAGGCATTTTTATGTGAAAACTGGAAGTAGGGAAACGAAAAATGTGACAAAGGAATTTCCACTTCTGACTATCTGAGATAGCAATGTTTGACAGATTTTTATTGATATTGGATGATGACTGAAGGTGAAATGAGGACCTGGACTGCAGCGGGATTCGAACTAGCGACTTACGAGTTACCTATTCGGTGCTCTACCGACTGAGCTACGAGACCCGACTGCTGACACCAGGTCTTAATTTCACTTGAATCAAAAGGGGTTTTGCCCGAATGTCACGTGAATTCATGACGCGTTACTGTCTCCTGATTGTCTCAGTCAGGACTGCTCATCCTAGTCCAAATCTATTTGAATTTGACATGAAAGGGTAGGACATTGGTTATCAGTTAAACTATCTGAGATAGCCATGGCTCGGAAGACTTGATACTGGCTGATGATTGAAGGAATATAGCAGTAAGGAAGGTAATGAAGGGAGAATCGCAAAATTTGAAGACAACCTTGGTAAAACGATAAAATAAGCATAGCCACGGTAGGTTTGTCGTAAGGACAAACTTTTTAAACATATAATAGGGCTTAATTTTGTACATAGCTAGCGTTTCAACAAACCTAAGTATACGCCCCTGAAAGTTTCTATACAAAATCGTGACGTTTATCAATGGTATGTTTCGCAATGGATGATGATGGTTATACTACAATGCAGTACACTTGGCCTTTAACAGACAATCAGATATCACAGTGGCGTCACAGATGTCGTAAGCTGGTGAAAACTAATTAAACCTTTAGTATCCGTCCAGAGATTTCTTCGGTCACTAATACACCAGAGTTAAGCGGACATCTTAGGAAAGTGGATTGTTTCACACACACACAATAGGTGTGGCTTATTGCCAGCTGCACAAACGTATACTTGGTTACTGAAATTCGTTTTCCAAGAATGGAAATTAGTTGCATTTTTCGGCGCTAGCTTTATGATTCTCGGAGTGTTTAACGCACTCCGGCGATTTGACAGCAATACAGTCTATCTTTGTCTACCGTTTAGTTGAGATCAATGAACGCTATATCTGACAAGGCTTTTCTGTGTGTCTGATCAGAAGCAAATGGTTATCTGAGCAAAGTTGTAGCAGGCGATCACCGTTATCTGTCCATTTGGCTGACATTCCAAAAGTGCCAACAAAATATCTTCATGTCCTTGTGCATTGAAATAATCTCGTACGGCAACCGTATCTGAGGGTTCGGCTTTCATTAGAACGTTAGACAGCTTTAAATAGCTCATCTTTCACTTCATCCGAGGTGTAGTCGGTGGCTGCACAAGCAGAGATTGCGAAGTGATCACACCGAGTTTCACTACTACTTTTAGTCCCTACTGTGCTACTAAGTCTAACAGAACGCAGACAACTGTCAACTGGGATCCAGTAGGCCAGTGCACTTTCTACCTTAGGACTCGATGCCGTACACGCGCAAGACCGTAAGAGCTTGCTATCGAATTTCCAGAAACCCGAAGGGTGAATTTCGCGGAGTAACTATAATGACTGAGACTTAGCGAATAACTGTACATGGTTCCTGCATGCTTGTCTCTTAAGAAAAGCATCTATTCATGGCCGGAGATGCAAGAGTTTTGGTAAGCTAAATCTGTTAGTCGACCTAACTGGGCATGTGGACATTTAAAAAAAAATATTTAGTTTGGAGTGTGGTTTCATGAAACCGGAGATGTCCCTTGAAGTCGAGTCGTTATCAGGAGCATATGGGCTGGAAGAAATTAAAGGTGATGTATAAATGTTTATTAAGAGATGTGAAGGAAGATTGTGGAAGGTCGGTAACGGATGATGTGGGGGAGGGGACTTGAGTGATAACAGAGTTGTTAGGGCGTTGGACAATTCTTGGCTGCCTGCATTGTGGAAAGTTATTTCATCTTAAGGTACATGAAAAAGAAGGGTTAATGTGTGACTGTGAAACCCTGATGACACCTACTTGAAGCCAGTCACACACTGCCTTTTAAGAAGATTGGTATTTCAGTTTGTTTTTTCACAAATCCAACTATAAGCCCTTATCTCCGGTACCAGCATCCAACAGAGTAGGAAAAGTGTGCTGTATTTATGGCGGGCCTTAACTAACCCCACCCTTCCCGTTGGGAAGACCTCTCACTGTTAGTTATCCGTGGGAAACCCTAATGTTGTTACTCCTGTCCAGTCAACAGCACGACTTCGCCCTCTGACCCGGCTCATAACATAGCAGTTGACATCAAAACAGTAACTGCTTTTTGTCTTACCATGATCCAACTTACTTTTCTGGTATGCTGCGATGTTGAAAAAAAAGCGTTCGACTAACATAGTTTGTTGAGTCCTTGTGACATGCAAGTTCGAAAACCACGTCATGTTGGCAGCTAATGCTCTGGTCTAGGCATATCCGCCTATTTTGGTTATAGATTTACCACGATGGCAAAAGGGATGAGAAGGTATAGCATAGATGTGCTAGGAATCTGCGAGAGCAGATGGAATGGAAGTGGACTCTCAAAACTGTCAACTCGAGAGTCAATAATCCACTCTGATATTGTCATTCAAACGATAACCACGAGCACGCTGAGTTTTGGAGTGGCTATCATAATGTCCCTGAGAGCATCGAAGGCTCTCTCTGATACAGTGGGAACCAATCCCTTCCTACAGGATCATGACAGCAAGATGGATTCAACTCAAAAGGAAGGAAAGTCACAATCATACGCTGCGCACCTACAAATAATAAAATGAGAAACATTAAACAACATCACAGGAGAAACCTGAGTGGGAGAACACTGGAGTTCTCTCAAAGAAACGTGGAAGGAAACCTGCATAACCTTGTTAGGAAGGAAGAAGGAGCAAGACGAGACAAGGAATGGATCTTGACGGACACATAGAAGCGTATAGAGCAGGGAGAGGAAGATGGTGAAACAGAAGATGAACCAGTGCAAGGATGAGCAAAGAAAAGAGGAACTGAGTACAATGTATAAAACACTACACTGGACAATGAAGTAAAGAAGAGTGCCCGGAAAGACAGAAGACACTTCTATGACACATTGGCAAGTGAAGTAGAACAGGCTGCAGGTAGAAGAGACAGAGACCTGACAACATTGTATCAAATAACCAGGCTACTATGTGGTAGGGAAGAGATCAACACAGATAAAACCAATAAGAGATAGTGAAGGAAACTTAGTTAACACCGGAGAGGAGAAACGAAGGAAGCGATGGTCTGACCACTTAAAAAAACTTGAATCGACCACTACCTGCAACTCGTCCAAAAATACCACCGGCAACCGCAGAATTACCAGTGAACACAAACCATCTGATGGAAGCAGAAGTGAAGTCCTGAACACCATAAGGTTGCTAAAATCCGGGAAAGCAGCAGAACGAGATGAAATTCATCCAGAAGCACTGAAAACAGACTCAGAGACATCAGCCGGACATGCTCACACCACTATTGCGCAAGGTTTGGAAGGAAGGAAGGAAGGAAGGAAAGATACCTGCTGATTGATTGGAAGAAGGGCTTCCTTGTCAAACTCCCAAACAACGGAGATCTAATTGTTTGCAAGAACTGGCGCGGAATCATGCTACTGTCCACCCGAAGCAAGCGAAATATTATGCCGCATCATCCTGGAGAGACTAAATGATGTGCTGGATTCAAAATTATGACCGGAGCAGGCTGGCTTCAGGAAGAACAAAACACGTATGGATCAAATCGCAACACTCCGCTACTCATCATCATAGAACAGATTATACAATGCCAGTCAACTCTCTACCTCAACTTCACCGATTTTGAAAAGGCCTTCGAGAGCGTCTACCGAGAAGTAATTTGGCAACTGCTTCAACACTACGGAGTACCACAAATCTTTATCAACCTCATTCAATAGCTATATGAAGACGCCACATGACGAGTGATTCACAAAGGAAAGCTCAGTGACGCCTTTGAAGTGAAAACAGGAGTAAGACAAGGCTACCTACTATCACCTATGATATTCCTTACGGTGGTGGACTGGATCACGCAAGAAACCGTGAGGAGCGAGAAGATGAGAATACTCTGTTTGACCGATGAAAAGACCTTAGACGATTTGGATTTCGCCCATGAGGATTTATGTCTAATGTCTTGTCACACTAACTTCAAAATCTACAGGCAAAAACCAACACGTTGGCAAGAGAGGTAGGGCAGCGAAGACGGGAGTTTCTTCAGGTGAATGTAGAGAAGACAGAGATGATGAAGATACCCAACCAACAACATCAGCAACAACAAGCACCAATCACCATCAACGGGAGAAAAACCTGAAGGAAGTTGTCTCCTTCACCTATCTAGGCAGGGCAGCATCGTTCCAACTACAGGCGGCACAGGCACAGATGAGGACAAGCCTTCCTGCATTAATCTGAAACTAGTGTGGAGATCTACTGCACTGCACTGCACTGCGCTCAGCATAAAGCGTGAACAAGATGTGAATTTTCAATATTAATTCAGTTAAGTAAGTCAGTGCTTCTATGTGATGGTTGAGAGACTTGGCGCGTTACGAAAAGCATTTCCAACAAACTACAGACATTCATCAACAGCTGCCTATGCTCGATGCTGATGACCAGATGGTCAGAATAATAAGAATAAGCAACAAGGGACTCTAGCTGGCTGGCTGGCTGGCTGGCTGGCTGGCTGGCAATGAACCAACGAAGCAAGAACCTATCGCCCAATAAATATGCAGAAGAAAGTGGAGATAGATTGGATTGTATTAACACTGAGAAAACTATTTGGGGACATCACGCATCAGGTCAAGGCCTCGAGTAGAATCCAGAGGGGAAACGATGAATTGGGCGTCTGAGGGTGATGTGGAGGAGATGGTGTGGGGAAGAAATGAAAGCTTGTGGGCAGATGTGGAGCCAGATTGAAAAGTCTGTAGAGAAGAGAGTGAGATGGAGACGTGCTACTGAAGCCCTATGTTCCACTACGAACCCAAGGGACAAATAATATTAGTAACAGATTTACAACGCAGAAGCTGCATGGATGTCTGCTAGCGTTCTTGCTAATATCATACTGCTGTGTATTCCTCAGGTGGAATGAGATTGTATCTCGTAAGCTCTAATAATTGTAGGGTAAGTGATGAAACTTCAGAAATGAATGACAAGCATTGTGATGTAACACATTGAGATATGTTACAATATTTATACTGAGCATAAGTTATGAAATGTGATGCTTATGCCTTTTTGTTATCTATTTTTTATACTCTAGGTCGTTTGGATGATATGCTAAATGTCAGTGGTCATCTTATCAGTACAGCTGAAGTGGAAAATGCTCTTTTATTGAATGCAAATGTTAGTGAAGCTGCTGTAGTTAGTCGACAACATCCAGTTAAAGGAGAATGCTTGTACTGTTTTGTCACGCTTAAGGATACTCAGTGCCAGAGTAACTTGAATGGTGCTAATGATGTGAATCCACTTACTCCACAGATAAAAACAGAGCTAACTCAAATTATTAGAAAAAAGATTGGCCCGTTCGCTACTCCAGATTATATTCAGGTAATAGTTTTTTTTGTATACTGCTAGCACTGTTGTGTTCAATATTCAAGGAAATTTCCTCTCGTCTTTCCCTCCTTTCTCTTTATGTATGTGTGTACTTGTAAATGAATGTAGTAAACTAACTGAATTACCATTAATCTTTGCTAGGTTCATTTAGTAGCAGTATTCCATTTCGTCTGTGGTCTTTGGGATGTATCTGTACTCTGATATGATACCATATAGGTTGTTTTGCATAAGACCTATTTATGCTTAGCACTTTAAGTAACGAAATTCGTCACCTGAGTGTTTTTTTTGTTTTCTCTCCTCGAACTTGCCATTTACTGTAGCAATTTCACCATGTTCAGGCCACTAACTACACTCATGAATAGGAAAACTACGTCTTATTTCTGATTAACCTTTTTATGGTCTATTGTAGTCTGTTGGGTAAGATAAGCGTATTTCATGGTTCATCCTCGCTGAACTATACTCAAAACTGTTACTATATACTCTCTGTCTAAAGAATATCTGATTATGGGCCAAAGAAGCTATCATCAAGAGACAGTACCACTGGCAAACATATCTTTAATACTTATCATGCAGTAGACCTGGATACCTTTTTGTGTGATCATTAGACAGAGTTAAAGTAGATCATAACGTTTTTTATAAGCAATAGCAACCCATCACCTCAGACTTAATTTATATCTGTTTAAAAGTAGTTTTTATCTCACAATTTGTCGTTCGCATCGATGATTTGGCACTTGCTTACAATTGCATTTTTTCTTCCGTTTTGTTGTTTGTGTGTCATATTTGGAATGTGTTTTTAACATATCGTTTATTATTATTAAATTGACCTCACTTGACCAGTAGGTGACTCTTCGAAATTCACTATACGAGTATCCGGAGACCTCGTGGACTCGCTGGTGTAGGTGTGGCACGAAGCTTTCGAGCAGAAAGCACAGTTCTCAATTGTTTACCAGTCAACAGCCACCTGTATACTGAATGGATCTGTAAGAACCAGGAAGAATTATGAGACTAGTCGATGCCTATTCTCAATCTCCGCCTACGCTCCCACCTACTGCAGTTTTAATAATCCAAAGGAAAAATTCTATCGAAGCTGTCAATTTTTCTATAAAATGTAAAACGGCCAGATACAGTCATAATAAAAAATGGTTTCAACGCTCAATTAGGAAAAGCATTCTGGAGGTATCCAGGGAATCTCATGCTAACGAATGGACAATGATGGTCGTCTGTTGTAGTTTAGCTCCGACAGTCACCTGGTTCTGACCGGCACTAACTTTAAGCATAAGGAGAAACACTGTTCTATACAGCGTCCATCGATCAAACCAATGATCGACACAAATAGATCATATCACTATAAGGCATGGTTAGAGAGAATCGGTGGCAGATCGACACTCTTTCTGGAGTGCCTGTTAAAACTCTGGTCACACGTTAGTACGGGCTCGTATATGTTTGCCCCATATTGGTTGCAGGAAACAAATTATAGTAAGGCCTGTCTAAGGCCGATTGGTAGATGAGGACGCCAAGTACGTATTTAAGAAAGAGTTAGCTAAGCGTTTTTCTCTGAACGTGAGAGCAATACTCATACTGAGAAAACCTTGTGTGAAAGTAGGCAAGCAGTAGAAACAGTGGTAAAGAAAATTGGTAACCTACACCTGAAGATTGGTAAACGTTACTGGATTCCCACGACATCATCCGAACTGATTGGTGTGAGATGATTGATACCAGCTGGCTTGATCACAATGAGGAGGGAAAGCAATTTAGACGTGAGTTGACCAAGAGTCTTCGCGTCGATCACGATCAGTGGTGGGTAACGAAACGAGCGAGAGAGATGGAGAAAGCATCAGGGCCAGCAACTGTTTAGACCTATTAAGGATCCTGGGAAGAAGACGTTGGTGAGTGAAACCATCACCGAAAAGGATGAGACCCTGATTATTATTATTATTATTATTATTATTATTATTATTATTATTATTATTATTATTATTATTTGTCCCCTGGGTTCCTAGTGGAACATAGGGCTTCAGTAGCACGTCTCCATCTCACTCTCTCCTCTACAGACTTTTCAACCTGGCTCCACATCTGCCCACAAGCTTTCATTTCTTCCCCACACCATCTCCTCCACATCACCCTCAGACGCCCAATTCATCGTTTCCCCTCTGGATTCTACTCGAGGCCTTGACCTGATGCGTGATGTCCCCAAATAGTTTTCTCAGTGTTAATACAATCCAATCTATCTCCACTTTCTTCTGCATATTTATTGGGCGATAGGTTCTTGCTTCGTTGGTTCATTGCCAGCCAGCCAGCCAGCCAGCCAGCCAGCCAGCCAGCCAGCCAGCCAGCCAGCCAGCCAGCCAGCCAGCCAGCCAGCCAGCCAGCCAGCCAGCCAGCCAGCCAGCCAGCCAGCCAGCCAGCCAGCCAGCCAGCCAGCTAGAGTCCCTTGTTGCTTATTCTTATTATTCTGACCATCTGGTCATCAGCATCGAGCATAGGCAGCTGTTGATGAATGTCTGTAGTTTGTTGGAAATGCTTTTCGTAACGCGCCAAGTCTCTCAACCATCACATAGAAGCACTGACTTACTTAACTGAATTAATATTGAAAATTCACATCTTGTTCACGCTTTATGCTGAGCGCAGTGCAGTGCAGTGCAGTAGATCTCCACACTAGTTTCAGATTAATGCAGGAAGGCCTGTCCTCATCTGTGCCTGTGCCGCCTGTAGTTGGAACGATGCTGCCCTGCCTAGATAGGTGAAGGAGACAACTTCCTTCAGGTTTTTCTCCCGTTGATGGTGATTGGTGCTTGTTGTTGCTGATGTTGTTGGTTGGGTATCTTCATCACCTCTGTCTTCTCTACATTCACCTGAAGAAACTCCCGTCTTCGCTGCCCTACCTCTCTTGCCAACGTGTTGGTTTTTGCCTGTAGATTTTGAAGTTAGTGTGACAAGACATTAGACATAAATCCTCATGGGCGAAATCCAAATCGTCTAAGGTCTTTTCATCGGTCAAACAGAGTATTCTCATCTTCTCGCTCCTCACGGTTTCTTGCATGATCCAGTCCACCAGTGGACTCTAATAACCTCGCACAGTAGGTGGCTAGAACGTTGGTCGGAACTCTGAAGCACAGTTCACCCGGACGCCATCTATGCTGCATTGATCCAATACACAGATCGGACGTGAATGGCACATGAACGTCCGTCATCCAAGTCTACTTGAATTTGACAAAGGTGTATCAAATGTGAAAGGGTGCGAAGTGACTAAATCTGACAGTTTGGTTGGCGGTTTGAAGGACGAAGGTAAGAAATTACTGCGGCATGCATATTTACACATGGCTAACACTGTTTATTGACATAAAGGTGACATTTGATTCTATCGGCTGTGAGGTGTTGTGGCAGTATCTGACAGTGAAGGGAATACTGAAGAATATGTGGCGCTAATGAAAGCTCTCTACTCGAACTCGCGCAGTCGTACAAGGGCTTACTGAGTGTTGTCATTGAAATTGAGATCAACCACTGGTGTCCACCAAGGATGCCCGCTGTCACCGTTCCCGTTTAGTTTCTTTTTAAGTGTATGAGTGCACATAACCTTAGGTACGTCTGACTCCACACTGATTGATTTATTCTTAAGAGGTCATCTGGTTTACTTGAAGTACGCAGGCGTCATAGTCCTGTTAAGCGATCACGCTGACGAACTGCAGGTTCTTCTGAACTTAGCGGAAATCTAAGTATGTTTGGCGTGTGTTTCGCACCTATCAAATATAAAGTGATGCTCCAGGACTGGTTTGCAGCTGAGGGATGGGGAGTAAAATGTTGGGATACATCATGCACATGGGAATTCGTATCTGCGCAAACGAGCTCGTTGCTAGCGAAATCTCAGTTCGGATAGAGAACACTTGCTTAGCATTTCCCAACTTGCGTTGACTTTGGCACCAGTGAGTTGTCTGGTTAACCTATTAAGGGACGAGTATACTGCGCTGCACTTTGCTGTTCTACTATATGGCTGTGAAACGTCGCCATTAAAGTAGAGAATATGAAGTGACTGCAGTTTTTCGACCACTGGAGTCTTCACAGCATCATGTACGTATGATGAAATCACTGTGTGACCAATGTCAAGGTTAGGCGCTAAGGTTATAACAGATCAGTTGGTCGATGAGGCTGTAAATTTCCATTGGTTGAGGTGGCTTGGCTATGTGTTTTTGTATACCAAGCCACTGCCTTTCTCGACGTGAATGCTAAGGGAAATTGGGTTAGGTTAAAAGAGGGTTCAGGATGACTAGACTAAGACTTGGTACCGGTGCATGAAGTCACTGAATTTTGGTCGAAGCTATGTAATGGGGTGTAGACTACCTGGTTGGGGTTCGTATAATGGTAGGTATGAATTTTTGGAGATCTTTTATGACATGACTGGAAGTGGATCACAATGGCGTAGATATATTCACCTTTTGACGTTCTTCAGTATTTTCACTAACGTTCATTTCCAGCTTCTTTCTTTTCCCTTCTTTGTCTACTTCGATCGCAGTTTTTCCTGTGCACTTATTCTTTATATACTGTTGTGAAATGTTGCAACTCGAACCGACGTACTTCTCTGCGACGTTGATTTTGTTTGTCTATCTGTTACCAATAACCGCTTTGAGTGCACAACATGAATATGCACGTACTAGACCTTTTCTGAACTGTTACAGTATGACTATCTTGTCACTGATGGATGTTTTGAGTTGAAACAAGAAATTGGAGCGCACTCGGCAACCATAGGCTTTTTAATGCATCAGGCAAGAAGGCACATATTTTAAACTGTACTATATGACCACCCATGATTCGGTAGTTGGTAAGATGTTTGAATCCCTCACCCATTGGGTTGGAAGTCAAGTGCCTAGACAAATGATCCACAAATCAACATATGTTCCGAGTGTTGAGTGTTCTATGATTAGTGAACCAGTCATATTGATAATTTTATTACTAGTTCAATAATGTGTATAAAGTAGATTATATGATTTCAGTTACCGTAAAATATCAACTGTTATCCCCTACTATTTTTAGATATTTTGTTATTATAAAATTTTTTGATTTCTTTTAGAGTGCACCTGTATTACCGAAAACACGTAGTGGTAAAATTATGCGACGTTTACTGCGAAAAATAGCTAATGAAGATTATAATTTTGGAGATACTTCTACATTATTGGACTATTCATGTCTGGAAACCCTCATTAGATTATCAAAATCAGTAATTAACTAATATTTACCCTTTTAGACAATAAAAATGCAATTATATATATATATATATATATATATATATATATATATATATATATATATATATATAGGCACATAGATTGTTTATCTAACCCCACACTTCCTACATATCTTACTCTATCTTCTTCGTCATCTCATTCTAGTCGAATGAAGCAGTTATATCGGATGGCATCATTGTTATTCTTCTTATTACTGTTACTGTTATTACTTCCGTTACCATCTTTTTGTAAGCTTAATGCATCTACATACCTTTCTAGTTTGTCTGATGTTATTTCCCCCATGTTTATCATCGCGAATATATATATATATATATATATATATATATATATATATATATATATATATATATATATATATATATATATATATATAAGAATTGTGTCTACTAACTACCATTATTCCTATTACTGCTACTGTTATATATACATAGCCATTTTGCCAACTCCCTCTGAATCAAGCAAAACGGTTGTGGATTTTTATTAATTTGTTCTTTCTTACTTTCTCTTTGTTAAGTTTCTTGTTTTTCAATAGTATGAAAATTCAATTTTGAGAGTTTAATCTTTTCTACTACTATTACTTATACTATTATTATTATTATTATTGTCATCGTCATTATTACTGTTATCAGTATCATATTACTATCATTTCTGTCTGGATACCATTGTTACTATTATTACTCCCAATTTTAATACCTCTGAACATGACCACTTTCATATTTATAAAATCGTCTTCTGAGTAGTGAAAAAATAGTTATTTTTTCAAGTTTCTTGTTTCTAGTTCTTAGAATCTCGTATTCCTCTTCCTTTCTTTTTAATTAAAAAAAATAAACAAACAAGAAAATGAAAACACTTATTGGTTGTGAGCGTCTGTTTAGCTTTCATGTTTAAGGATTTTATGCTATATTTTCAATTAGATTAATCGTATTTATTCTAAAGATACACAAATTTATGTCGACTTGTCGTTCTGCTCCTTTTTGCTTGGTTTATAATGTAGATTACAATAAAAGATTATGTAATTCGCCTTATAGTGGCTAGCAGTAGGATTTAAGACGCGTGTTTCGTCCCATTTAAGACCCGTCAGTTAGATATGTCTGCATGGAAGTGAGTGATGTTGTTCCCGCTGAGATTCGAAGCGAGCCCCTATCGCTTCAGACACCTAAGCGTTATCCACGACACCGCTGGGGTACGGGAGCCAGCTGTTGTACGAAAGGTGTCACTAATTGGTGCATTTAATTCTCCCTTATTATTCTGGGTCCAAGTATCAATAAATAGTGATAACTGATATCCGTTGCAGAAGAAGTGACTTTCGTGCTTGGTGGATAGCGTTTTGGCATTTGAAACTATGCGTACTAAATCCGAGTCTCAATGGGAACAAGATCACTCACTGGGATGCAGGGACATTCAGCTAACGGGACCACAAATAGGGCGAGATTCGCGTCGTGAATTCCACTGCTGGTCACCATTATGAAAATTACAACAATGAATAATCAGGCAATACCGAAGCATCCGCATAGCTGCCCATATACCAACAGAGGTTGATCAATTCGACGCAGATTAACAGCAGAAAATTCGAAATATCAATAAATAAAAAGGTTATATAGTTTAGCATGCAAACTCAGCTTCGTGTAGTATGAGAGTTATAATGCTATTTCGTTACTCAAATTTTGGGGAGGGAGGTGAGGGAGCTATACTCATCAGGTGGTGTCCGTCAAGGATGCCCACTATCCCCATTCTTATTTAATTTTATCATAGATAGTCTTATGGAGATTTCCCTCTCATCACCTGATTACACAGACGTTGACCCGATCACAGGTGAATTTTCTTTAGATCTAGAATATGCAGATGACATAGTCCTGTTAGGTGAAGACGCTGACAAGATGCAGAGTCTTCTGAACACTTTGAGTGGGAATTTGAGAATGTTTGGGATGCGATTTTCACCACCTAAATGCAAATTTTTGCTCCAGGACTGGTCTTCAGCGGTACCGCGGCTAACAATAGAGAGTGAAGTGGTTGAGTGTGTTGACCACTTCACTTACCTGGGAAGTAGGATCAACTCCGGTGGGTCAGTTGCCGATGAGATTTCTGCACGGATACAAAAGGCTCGATTGGCTTTTGCCAATTTGCGCCACCTATGGCGCCGCCGTGATATTCGTTTGTCTATTAAGGGTCACGTGTACTGCACAGCAGTCCAGTCTGTTCTACTGTATGGCTGTGAAACATGGCCATTGAAAGAGGAGGATACAGAAAGGCTCCAGGTGTTTGACCACCGTTGCCTTCGTAGCATAGGACGTATTCCGTGGTGTCACCATGTGAGTAATGCAGAAGTTAGGTGTATAGTTTTGGGGAGAAGAGGTAAGTCAGTTGACGAGGTTGTGAACCTTCATCGACTGAGATGGTTGGGACACGTACTACGTATGCCTAGTCACCGATTGCCTCGTCACACAATGTTGGCTGAGGTGGGTCCAGGCTGGAAAAAGGCCCGAGGTGGCCAGACTAAAACATGGCACCAATGTATGAAGTCTCTGACTGTTGGTTTAAGCCATGTAGGGTGATGCAGACTAGGCGGTTGGGGTCCACGGGACAAGAGGAACCAGTGGTTGGAGACCCTAGGTGATATGGCTCAGAACCGAAGTCAGTGGCGCAGATGTATACACACATTATCCTCATCTTAACAACGCTATACCGAATCTCACTATTTTGTCACTCCTCTTTACTTTCTTTTCGTACTTTATATTTCTTTTGACTGCATTCACTTATCTTCATCCTTCACCTCACTACCTTTTTACTTGATGTGCTGATATGAGGTGTGGCAACTCGGACCGTTACGCAGTAATGCCTGGTCCTATGTTGATAATGATGATGATGATGACTCAAATTTTGGTTTTTGAGCATGATTTGGATTTGTTGGCATCAGTAGTCATTTCAATAGTTGTTCTTATTGCCAGAAAGTTGGTTGATCATCTGCCAATTACAAACACCGACATCAAATAAAAATTTTTGTGAAACTTTAATTTAAATGAGGTCGACATTTTAGATCACACTTTCATTAAGAAACAACTATTTCTAACTGTCCGTTGATAAAAATGGCCTTGTCAATTTCATTTCTGGAAAATACCATGAATTCATTGCCGGTATATCTCTTGGCTGCGCATTCTTCTTTTTATTATTACACCATTGGTTTTGATATCGGATCAATTTTCATAATTATCATCTGCGTAGAAATTAAAATCTAACTATCGGAAGTGTGTGGTTTCGATTGTCAGATAACATCGCATTTCATGAAAGTGTTAGGACGTATAGTTTGAGCTCATATTGGTCTGGACTGTTTTGTAGTTAAAGTATTTGATATAGTATTTTAGATTCAGTATGAGACCTCTAGTGTACTGGACGTTAGGTAACTGCTTGATTACTTGATAACGGCAGTCGCTTACTCGATGGAAAGGCGATAATCATAATACTGTTATATTATTATTTGTCTTTTGGGTTCCTGGTGGAAAATAGGGCTTCAGTAGCACTGTCTTCATTTCCCTCTCTTCTCTGCAGTCTTTTCAACCTGGCTCCACATCTGCCCAGAAGCTTTCATTTCTTCCTCACATGATCTTCATGTTACCCTCGCCACGGACGCCCAATTTGTCGTTTCCTATTTGGGTTCCACTTGAGGGTCATCACCATAATATGATGAAAGAAATATAGTACATCGGAATTCGTCTATTTTTTCGAGTAATAAGACAAGTATCTATCATTTATTTTTGAAATGAATGGGGATTTTTAATTTAGAGATAGTATTCATCATGAAGTGACATCAGTTGAGGAACCACTGGAAACCTGGGAGCACTGGACAGCTGTTTAGTCGTAGTACTCATTCACGACCCACTCACCGGACCCAAGGCCTTCAGGTTTCACGGTGAACGCATTCTAATAAATGCCGTGACCTGTGGGGTCAGCCAGTCGAAAAGGAAGCGGATACCAACTGAAGACTTTGGGGATAGTCGCGCTATATCATGAACTGAAAGTTGGAAACTGAGAACCGATCCAGTGGTTGAATGGTTGACGCATTCGCCGTGTACATAAAGGTCCTGAGTTCTATCCCTAGCCAGGTCGTTTACGTACTGCTAAGGAGTCCCATGCTAGGACGAAACAGCTGTTCAGTGGTTCCTCAATTGATATCAGTCCGTGATGAATACTACCTCTATATTATTTATTTATTACGAATAATTTGGGAACATGTGATAAATCTTATGAAATACAGTAGAATCTTTTGATGTGTTAATTGTGTCTTTTTAACTTTGAGAAGTATAACTTTCAACTGTATCGTCATCAGTTCATACACCAGAAAGAAAATTGTCATAAACAGGCAGGGATTATAGTTATTAGTTTGATTTATGTTTTTCCCTTCAATGAACATAGAATGACAGATAATACGTGTGATGTAATAAAAGAAACTGTGGTTCATAGACATAAGTCAACTTTGAATCAATCTCTCACACACAAACTAGCGAAATGATTAACCGAAATACTGAAACCGATTCGTAATGTTTTTTTATGTAAGTATTCATTGGAAGATACTTTTGAACTTGTTGATTGTCTTACTGATATAAATATCAGAAACGACTCTTTATTTACGAATGTACGCGTAATGAAGACAGTTAATATTCTTTGTGACTAAGTATCCTCGAATATCCTTCATTCCCTATTTCTCCGATGTATTTTGAAGGAGCTACTTTTATTATGTACTGATAAGGTTCATTTCATTTTCGACAAATTGATGGTGTTGCTATGGAGAGTTGTCTCAAAGATAAGTTAGTGGATATTGCTCACTAATTCCACAATCCGCGTCTGAAGTATCTTAACACCTTAGCATTCCAAAGCATTAAAAACACTGCGAAATAATCCTGATATATTGGTTAAGCCCGACAAAGGATCAGGAGTTGTTATTTTGAAAAAATCGGATTACAAATGTAAAATGTTATCCATCCGCATCGATAAAAGCAAATTTATCGCAGATGTTCCAGGAAGAATAAATTCTATCCTAG